TGAATTTTTGTTTTTTTTTTTTTTTTTTTTTTAATCTGATTAGTGTGAGAAAAATATTTATTAAGAGTGTTTGATGCTGAAAAAAGTTGACCTTTTTATGTAACATTATGATTGGTAAAAGATTTCTTCTTGTAAGCTCCTTGTTGATTCACTTTCCTACTCCATCTTTCGAGCTAATTGAAGTTCGGCTAATAGGGCTATAGTTTCACACTAGATTATGAACCTAGGTATGTTGCCGGATTGTAAGCACAAAGTATTCTACAATGTTATTGTACTGTCTTCAACTTGAAATGCATACCATTTCATGCACTTGTGAAGCGTTAATCTTAAAGTTAGGGTAAATTTCATTCGCGGTAATTATACTTTTACTTTAGTTTAATTGGGTAATTATACTTTAATTTCATCTTATTTCAATATAAAATATATAATTTTAATTGGATGATTATACTTTAATTTGATTTCAATTTAAGCAACTTTGTCCAATTTTACCGACGACAGTTAATAATTTATGTTTTTCGTAACTATTAGTTTTTGACATGAAATAATTACCATTTAATTGAAATAAATTATAGACATCCTTTATTAACTACTATGTCATTAATTTTCGTCCGTTCAAGTGACAGATTTATTCGATTGAAATTAAATTAAAGTGTCGTTAGGCAAATTGAACCAAATTGAAGTATAGTTACATGATTAAGCTAAAGCGAAAGTATAGTACCTTCAATAAAATTTGTTCTCTTCAGCTACAATTATTCTCTTCGTCAAAGAAGTTAGGCACTTGGCATTGGGGTGAGAGCTTGTGGGTCTTTTTTTCATGCAGAATAATGTTTTTTGCTTAGTGAACTGAACCTTGAAACGGGTTGGCATCTCAAAATTTGAGCAACTTTTTGACATTAGAACTTTCTGCATATTGATTTTCAATGACATTAACCATTATACTTTGAAGGCTTCGCACTACTTTGACCATCGAGTTACGCTGTGGACATCTTGATTTCCTAATTCGGCAGTGAATGCATTTTCGATACATAGTATGGGCATGATAGATAGCTCGAGCGAAAAATTTCTCTTTTTTTAATAATATTTAGCATTACTAATCTATTTATAGAGTCTAATGCACGTATCCAAACACATTGTAAGATTTCACGTCGATCATAAGCCATGCAAAAACATTCATAATAGATTCAACTGCCTTTCCCCCTTCGTGAGGTAGGAAATACAAACGTGTCGTTAATATAGAATGAGTGAGTTCTTACATTCTAAATTTCTTAATTCAAGGTGAACTAAATCTCAACGAAAAATTAAAAAATAAAAAATAAAAAATCATAGAGTTTAATTTCGGTTCTCATGTTAAAGTATTAAAACCAACTATTTACTACAAGAAGAGCCATATTGTTTCCATTGCAATTCAAATTTCTTGAAGGCACAAAAAGTTTCAGACAATTCAAATTTCGATTCGTGGCTTGACTTGTTCAGAATTATTGGAGACCCCAATTATTAGAAAAGAAAACAAATTACAATGTATCTTCACCAGAAGAGGGAGGTGGCCATTGCAGAATTTTGACTTTGAAATAAGTTTCAACTTGGGCTTCTTTCTTGGTTTCAAACCTCGTGTTGACATTTGAGTTTACTGAAAACAGTCTGTTCCCATGATACTTCAAATGTGGCCCATTCACCTCTCTGGTTTTTCCGAATTTACATTTTCATATTAATATTAAATTATATTACTTAGGAGTCATGTGAGACGACAGTCTCATGCTATAATTTTTAATTAAAGAAATACAGTATCTTGCAAAAATAAGAAGTCATTGTTTGAACATATCCTCGAGATGGTTTCGAGGGCGATCACAAGACGAGAATTATCTATGGTAAGGTTATTGAATATGTTCAACTTATCCCGCATCATGATCCTCTAAAGAAAATTTATAGATAAATTGTGCTTATTTCAAGTTTGAGCCAGTAGCCTTTGAGCTTTATTAGTCCTCGACGAAACTCGGGTTTGTCCTAGGAAAGAAAATTTTCTACTTGAATTAGATTTTCAATTTTATTTTATTTATTTATTTTTTTAAAACTTTCACTATCGATAAGCGCCGATGAACTAATTCCAAGAAAACGGTGTTTCTCTATGTCAATTATGTCCCATATCCCCAAACAAACCTACCACCACCTCTCTTTCCCAAATAAAAAATATGAAATAAAATGTATAAAAGAAAGTAACAGGAAAGTGGCTTTGCATGCAAAATAATTTTTTGACCAAAAAAGTGAAGGAATCACTTTTATATATGGAAAATGTCAAATAAACATCATGGTTGACACAATAAATAATCGCGCCCTTATATGCTGAGATGGGTCCTGCCTGAATAAAATAATCCCGATCCTCATGTGCATGTGTGTAGTATCAACCTTGATGTCACCCATTGTGAATAAGTAGCTCGATCCTATATATATAGATAGATAGAAAGAGAGAGAGAGACGTGCACGCAAAACAAGACTGATTTTGTCTGGACTCACATTCTGTGTTCAACGCGTTGCAGCTTCAAATCAAATATTAAATAAATAATTAAAAATAATAAAACCCATCAAAAAAGAACCAAAAAGCTGTTGACTTTTATTTGATCATCAGCTGCAGATTTGATTATTTCAATAAGTATAAAGATTAATGTTTTTGTTTCTTTAATAATTTCGAGTCCGCAATCATCGGTTGAGCGTTCAAACTTTCGGAGGGTTTGAGTCAACCAATTTTCTTTTCTTTATGTTTTGTTTTAAACTTAGCCTTTATTTGTTTCCCATTATTTTCCACATTTTTCTCTCTTTTTATTTTAACCACATATTTTTCAATAAACTCCATCAATTTACTATTTTAAAATGCATTTTACACAAAAAAAAAATGGAAATCAAACAGGTGTTTAATTTGATCAGAGGATTTTTAAAAATATTATTTAAATTTTACATGTATAATAAAGGATAAATCAAGAAATCAATTTTTACATGCTTTTTCATGAGCAACGTGAGATATAATTCTATCGTTATATATCATTACTTCAAGTCAAAGTGCAGACGATTTACTTTTCCAAGTTGGATAGCTCACGAAACCAATCTTCTACTGAAAGTGACACTTTCCAAATCGACCTCTCTTCACGAGACCCCCCCAAGATGAATGCACGTTTGATACCAATGACATGAAACACAATTAAATGTTATATTTGTAATTGTAATTATATTTTATTTCTGTATATTATTGATTATAAATTTATAGGGAATAAGAGAGAACTATTTGTTGACTTTGACGTTGCAAGCTCGTTCTTGCAGCAGCCCTAGCTACTATGTTTGTGGCCTAGGATGGTACAAACTCAATGATCCTATAAAATTTGTTTGCTCAAATCGATGAAGTGGTTAAGCAGAGTTTAATATAAATATCACAGGTTTTAATGAACAGAAAGTCAAACAATAGTTTCTGATATAAGATCAGACTAACTTTATTTAGGAAATTCTTATTTCGTCACGTGAACTAGTTTGTGAAACATATAGACAATCATTCAGCATCTTAAAAGAATTTTTAATTTATTAAATTAAATTAATTAGAAACTTCACACTTACTATAGACTTGTCACAGGTCGTATAAAGTTAGATCCGATCGAAGAGTTTAAACAGGATGAGCTTAAAAACGTACTTAGTTTAATTTGCTAGTTTTACATTTTACTCCTAAGCTAAAAGTATAAATATATTTGAATAACTTAGTATTTTTAACTTTCAAGGAAAAAAATTCACTTATTTCGAAAGTAATTCATACATTATTACAAAAATAAGTAACTTATTTTCGATTTAAACAAATAAAAAAGAAAAGAAAAGAAAAGAAAAAGACGAAGAAATGTGGCAAAGTGGGGTTTGGAAATGTTGAGGAGGCATTTGATTTGTTGTTTTTAGTTTTGTAAAAAACACAAAACTTGTTTCATTTTGTATTTTTAAACTGCATTTTTGAATTAAATTTATAACATAAAATTCAAAAAATAATTTTGACGTATAGCAATTTCTAAAAATTTCAAACCAAACTTATTTTCTTGTTATATATATATATATATATAAAAAAGATACGATATATAAAAGATACGATTTCTCAAAATGACAATTCAAATGCATATTCTGCAATACTAAATAAACCATTTAAATAGAAAATTGAAAATAAATTCAAACCCAAAACTCAAATCTGAAACGTGAATCGGGCCAAATTGTTTATAATCAGAATTTAGAAAAAAAAAATTCATTAGTTACATATTCCATATGAATAATTCTGTGTCTTTCGGTTGACTATATATATAATCTTGTGAACAAGATCACTTCACATATTTAAATCGCACGCATCAATTATAAGCATAAAATATTACTCCTTATCTTCTTAAGATAAAAATAAATAAGTAAGTGGGTCGACCCGAATGGAATGAATAGTTGTTAGTAGACTCTAAGACTGTTTAATTGCTTAAAGATTGATTAATTTAGCAACTGTCAAACAATAGATGAAGAAACAGAATATCTCACACATACACACATCGATCTTCTAAGTATCGATACTTAATTTATACTAAGCACCAAATGA